CAGGCCTTCAAGGCTGTTGTCAGTTCTCTTAGGAAGCAATTATTTTTAAAAAACAGTGCACTGAGGTACAATTTGCATACCATAAAATTCATCCATCTTAATTTTATGAGTCAAGGATTTTAGTAAATTTCCTGGTGTGCAATCATCGTCTTAATTCAGTTTTAGAATATTTTCAGCATTCCAATAAGATCCCTCATGACGGTTTAGCTAAGTTAGTTCCCACCTCCAGTCCCAGGCGATCACTGATCTCCTTTTTGTCTCTATAGCTTTGCCTTTTCTGGACATTTCATATGAATGGAATCATAAATATATGGTCTTTTGTGTGTAGTTTCTTTTAATAAGCATGTTTTTGAGCTTCATCCATATTGTAATATGTATCACATTTCATTCCTTTTTATTCTCTTGTATGGCTGTAGCACATATTCTTTATCCATTCACAGGTTGATGACATCTGGGTTTGCTCCACTTTTTGGCTATAATGAAGAATGTGCCTCTGAACATTCACATGTTGGTCTTTGTGAAGACTTAAAAGTTTTCATTTCTCTTAGGTGGATGCCTAGGAGTAGAGTTGCTGTGTTTTATGGTAAACTTATGTTTAACTATTTTTTTAAATGCCACTGTTTTCCAAGGTGGCTATACAGTTTCACATACACACCAGCAAAGTATGAAGCTTTCCAGTTCTCCCCATCCTTGCCAACATTTGGCAATTGTCTGTCCTTTTTGATTATAGACATTCTGTTGGATATGAAGTGACACTTTACTGTGATTTTAATTTACACTTTTCTGATGACAAATGATGATTTTAATTTACATTTTCCTGATGACAAATGATGTTGAGCATCTTTACATGTGCTTATTAGTCATTCATGTATTTCTTTGGTGAAATGTGTTTTAAAATTTCTTGCCCATTTGTGAATTTGTGTTTTTTAAGTTCTTAAAATGTTAAGAGTTATTTATATATTCTGGACAGAACTCCTTTATTTGATACAGGATTTGCAAATATTTTCTCCCAGTCTGTGGCTTGTCTTAATTTTCTTAGTTGCAGTCAAAATTTTTTAATTTTGATGAAGCCTAATTTATTAATTTTTCTTTTATGGGTCATGCTTTTAAGCTTACATCTAAAAAATCATTTTTTTCTAAGAGTTTTATAGTATAGCTATTACACTTAGGTATATAATTTATTTTGAGTTAAATTTTGTGTATGGTTGGAAGTAAAGTTTCAGGTTCATCTTTTGCAAGTGGGTATGCAATTGTCCCAGCACCATTTGTGAAAAAGAATCCTGTTTCCATGGAATTGCCTTGGCAATTAGTTGAAAATCAATTAGCTATAATTTCAAGGGTTTACTACTGGAGTCTAAATTCTCTTCCTTGGATCTATCTGTCTATTGTTATGCCGTTACTATTTTGTTTTGATAACTCAAAGTTTATGGTAAATTTTATAATTGGGAAGTGAATGCCCTACAGTTTTATTCATCTTTTACAAATGGTTTTGGCTATTCTAAGTCTTTTGCATTTCCATATAAATTTTAGTTTCAAGTTGTTAATTTCATTTTTTAAAAAAGCCTTCTGGAGTATTGATAAGGATTAAAGTGAATGCATATACCAGTTTGAGGAGAATTGCCATCTTAAAAATAGGAGTGTTCTGAGAGTTCTGGTTCAAAATGATGACATAGAAGACTCCTGAACACCTCCTCCCATTGACACACCCAATTTATAGCTGCATACAAGACAACTCCCTCTGAAAGAAATCCAGAAACCAGCCGAGCAACTCCTATACATCAAGTGAAAAAACCCACATTGAAATAAATAGGAGAGGCTGAGGCACAATCTTACCATAAACTCCACCCCTGGCACGGAGATGCACAACAGGGAAGGAACTCAAAAATCCCAGCTTCTCCCTGAGGAATGAAGGGTTTGGATCCCACATCTGGCATCCAGATTTTTAAGACTTCCACCTGAGATAGACCTCCAAAACATCCAGCTCTAAAAGCCAATGGGGCTTGGATCTGCAAGATCCATGAGGAAATAGTGAACTAAGAACTAGTTTTTGGAAGCAGCCCAAGTGCCTATCAATGGATGAATGGTTAAAGAAGACATGGTGAATATATATATATATATATATATAATGAATTACTACATTATATACATAATTACTGTATTATATATGTAATGAAATACTACTCAGCCATAAAGAAAAATATGAAATTGTGCCATTTGTGACAACAGGGATGGACCTTGAGGGTACTGTGCTGAGAAAAATAAGTCACACAGAGAAAGACAAACATCATATGATTTCACTCATATGTGGAAGATAAACAAACACATGGATATAGAGAACAGATTGGTGGTTATCAGAGGGGAAGGGTGGGAGGACTGCAAAAGCAGTAAAAAGGCACATGTGTATGGTGATGGATGGAAACTAGAATTTTAAAGGTGAACAGGATGCGGTCTATACAGGAGTCTAAATATAGTTATGTACATGTGAAATTTACACAATGTTATAGACCAATGTGACCTCGATAAAACAATTTTTTTAAAAAAAGAAATGTTTCTTGGGGCTGGCCCCGTGGCCGAGTGGTTAAGTTCGCGCACTCCGCTGCAGGTGGCCCAGTGTTTAGTTGGTTCAAATTCTGGGCGTGGACATGGCACTGCTCATCAAACCACGCTGAGGCAGCGTCCCACATGCCACAACTAGAAGGACCCACAACGAAGAATATACAACTATGTACCGGGGGACTTTGGGGAGAAAAAGGAAAAAAATAAAATCTATTAAAAAAAAATGGTTCTTTAATGGTAACCCTTCTTAACTCATCGTGGCTATTCCCCCAAGGCCCAGTGCAGAGGCAGCAGACTGAAAACAATCTTTCTATAAAAAAAAGCCTATTTGCTTATCTTAAAAGATGTGGCCTGAGGAGCAGGCTTCTAGTTTAACAGACATCTAGGAGCTGACTACAATAATCTCCAGAGACTGGAGACCAGAGGGTACCATCTTCACACTCTCCCTTGGCCTCACTCCAGGTCACCACCATCTCCTAGAAAGCAGCTTGTGCACACATCTGGAGCCTGGCTTTTGCAGCTGCTGTCCAGCCGATGCAGCCCTTGATCACCTGGCTTTTGCAGCTGCTGTCCAGCCGATGCACCCCTTGATCACCTGGCTCTGGTGGCCAGCAGGGCCTATGTTAATGAAGTCTACAGGACTATAACAAACAGAAACGGTTCCTAACCAGCTGTCCTCTCAAAGCCTGACCCAGGGGCAGCAGACTGTAACCAGTCTTTTAATTAAGGAGACCTATTTGCAGATGTTAAAAGGAACAGTTGAGGGTCAGGCTTGGATTTTAACACACATTTAGGGGCTGACTGTAATTCTCTCCAGAGACTGGGGAGGCCAGTGCGGATGTAATGTACAGCATGGTGACTATAGTTACCAATCCTGTACTGCATATTTGAAAGTTGCTAAGAGAGCAGATCTTAAAAGTTCTCATCACAAGAAAAAGAATTAACTATGTGTGGTGATGGATGTTAACTAAACTTATTGTGGTGATCATTTTGCCATATATACTAATATCAAATGATTAAGTTGTACACTAAAACTAATAACAATGTTATGTCAATTATATTTCAATAAAATAAAGTGTTTTAATTTGTGAATATTGAATTTATTTATTTAGCTCTTCTTTAATTTCACTCAACGTTTTGTAACTTTCAGCACAAGGCTTGCCCCTCTGTTAAATTTATTATTATTTTATTCTTTTTAATGCTATTGCAAATAAAGCTGTTCCCCTGGGGCCAGCCCCGTGGCCGAGTGGTAAGTTCACACACTCCACTTCGGTGGCCCAGGGTTTCGCTGGTTCTGATCCTGGGCGCGCACATGGCACTGCTTGTCAGGCCATGCTGAGATGGTGTCCCACATAGCACAACCAGAGGGACCCACAACTAAAATATACAACTATGTACTGGGAGGATTTGGGGAGGGAAAGCAGGAAAATAAAAAGATTGGCAGCAGTTGTTAGCTCAGGTGCCAATCTTTAAAAACAAAAATAAAACCAAAAACTGTTCCCTTAATTTAATTTTTGGATTATTCAATGCTCATATAAAGAAATAAAATTGAGTTTCATTTTACATGCCCAGCAATACAGTTTATGCAGTTGATTTTTAATCAGTTAACTGAAGAATATAATAAAAATGTATACTGTCCTTTATATTTACCTATATAATTATATTTAGGGTGCTTTTTACTTCTTCCAGTGGATTGGAGTTACTGCCTGATGTCATTTTGTTTCAGCCTCAAGTATTCTCTTTAGAATTTCTTTTAAGACATGTCTGCTAATATAACAACAAAATTTCTTAGTTGTTTTTGTTCAGGAAGGTCTTTGTTTCATCTTTACTTTTTAGTGATAGTTTGCTGGGTATAAAATTCTTGGCTGTGATTTTTTGCTGTCAGCACTTTGCTTTCACAATTGCCTTCTCCATTGTTTGTGATGAAAAGTCAAATATTAATCTTCTTAATAGCTTTATTGAGATATAATTTACATATGATACAATTCATTCAAAGTGTGCAATTCAAAGGATTTTAGTACATTCACAGAGTTGTGCTTCCATCACTACATTCAACTTTAGAACATTTCCACTACATGAAAAAGAAACCTCCACCTTCCACAGCCATCATCCTCCAGCCCTCTTGTGGCCCCAGCCCTCAGTAAACACTAATCTAATTTCTGTTTCTAAAATTTGCCTATACTGGACATTTCATAGAAATGGAATCTTATAATATGTGGCCTTTTCAGACTTACCTCTTTTACTTAGCTCTGATCTCCAAAATTATCATTCTAAATGCATATAACTTTATCATCTTAATTAAATTAATGATCTCAAAACAATTATTAGTTATTTCAATTCCTTTAATTTTATTTTTATTGGCAACTAACTTACTGTGTAAGTATTAAAAAATAGTTATAAATGTGATCCATCTTATAGCTAACATATTTTCTAAATATTTCTAGAGGAAACTTCTAAGTCCTTTGCACCCTACATGAGCGAACTTCCAAAAGCAGTTCATAGAAGATCTAGGGCTGAGTCAAGAATTTATAAAGCCATCCCGCTTCCTTCGCCGGAAACTTCAGGTAATTTTTAATATTCTTAGTGTATAGTGTGAGTCTTTAAATTAATAAAGCTTTAGTTATATGGAAATAACCAGACTGCACTAGCCTTAGTCATATAACCAGTTTAGCAAAACACACATGAAAGTAAATGCTGAATCAAGCTCATCTAACATGTGCATTCTCGGTGGGTGAGCAGTGTCCCTGGCATGGCTCTTCCTTCCCGACTACCACTCAGTTGAACTCCATTTCTTTTCTCAGCCTTTCCTTCTTGCTCACTATTATAGATCCTGCAGATGACTAAGATAAACCCATCTTATAGTCCTCTTCCTTACATTTATATGTCTCTCTTTTGTCCAGTCCCAGGAAGGATCTGCAATAGAAAGACTTAACATGAGGGTAGGTGGGAAGGAAAATTAATATTATGTTCATTTTTCCCTTTTCCTTCATTACCATCTCCCCAGCCATCCAATCCATTAATAACTAAGAACTAATTTACTGACCCTGTTTCTTATACATTCCTCCAGAGGCATTATATAATCATCACCCTAGTACGTTTCTTATAGATAGTGATTTTCAACTTTAAAAAAAAGTAGATAATTTTTCTTTGGTCTGTTATGTTCTCTAAAACTCAAAATAATTATATACGCTCTGAAAATGTTTGCCAGTTTTTCATTCTAACTCTGCATCTTTATTCTTTATCTCTTACCATCATATCCATTGATGCGTCTTGCCATTCTGTGGATATATAACTCAAAGATAAAATAAATTTGACTGTTAACTGAAGTAAGACATAATTAGGCAAGGAAGTCTTCTGGAAAATTAAAAATTAATTATAATATATCCTTTATGTTCAGATAGGCTAGCCCCTTATGTCTAACTACCAGTGAAATCAGTAATCTTTTAGTATGTTTTAGGCAAATGTTATTGATTTTAGATTTACCTGCTACTTTATATCACCCACAATCCTGCTTTCCATTTATGTAGCTCCTACTTTTTTTTCTTTTTTCTTTTATGCTGAGGAAGATTCACCCTGAGCTAACACCTATACCAATCCTCCTCTATTTTGTATGTGGGTCACCACCACAGCATGGCCGCTGATGAGTAGTGTAGGTCCATACCCAGGATCTGAACCTGGGCTGCTGAAGTGGAGTGTGCCAAACTTAACCACAAGGCCATGGGAATGGCCCCTATGTAGCTTCTACTTTTAATGCCTAGAAAATTATTTCTAAATATTTTAATTTGATTTTCCTCTCCTAGGCCAAAGCATTCTCTTTGATAAAGGTACTAATTATAAGCAGTAATATTGCCAAAAGAAACAAGAAAGAGGAGAACAAGAACTAACAAATAGTCTGAATAATCCACTATCTAAAGTTTTACTCCATGATTAGACAGCAACAATAATGGTCTTCTTTTGTGGATTGAATGGAAATGATGCTGCCATAAATGTTTTTATTTTCCAAGAAAACGTCAAGCCTTTTAATCTAAAAATAATAGCATATAAACATTTTTTTAGGCAAACGTTTGCTTTGAGGAATGTAAGAGTTGAATGTGTCATTTCTCTTCAAGACATATTGTGAAAATTCAACACATTAATGTAAATTTCCACCATTAACTTTGAGAAAGTACCATCTATATGCCCCACATTCTGCTTTTTATTTTAGTGTATTTTTTTCCAAATGAGCATATTTAAATTATTTTATCACATAATTTTGTTCTTCACAGTGCTTAAAATATGTATTTTCACAATAACATTTCTGAGTACCACTCCTTCCATTCTGGCTCTAGATTTTTCACTGTGGGAATGCAAACTTCTTTTTTTAAATGAAGATACACTGTTTCAAATAGAGATAAAAACATTAAGAATATATCTATTTAATTGCTTAAGTATTTTTTTGCTGTATTATTGTAAAAAAAAAGCTCTTTCTCTGACATTTTCATATATTATATTTCTATTACTTCTTTTTCTTGATTTGCACTCTTACTGGTTATGTTTATAAATATCAAGTATTCTGCAAGGAAAAACGGGAGAGAAAATATTTGTGTTGGTAAAGCTGCTTTATCTAAATTATTGAAAAAATATAAGGAAGCTATGCTTTAGAAGTGGAATAAGACTTATTTTAACTTTTTAAAAGTTGAAATCAGGTCATTTCTAGGATAATTTAACACTATTCTCATTTTTTTAGGGCATCCAAAAGATTCAATCTTAAACAAAATAAATGTTAAACATACAAATGCTCTGCCTGCTGTGACCTCTATAGCTAGAAAATCTATCTATAAAGGTAAATGAATTACTGCTAAACAAATACACATGATATAAAACCTTAATCCATGTTTCCATTGTCTCTATTTACCAATCAGTCAAACCTATGGGCTCCCTCCTCTAGTCAACCAATGGTATGATCCAAGTATGTTTTTCCAAACCTTTTTTTTCTGGTTCTGTACTATAATAGGATTGGATGCATGGATCCTCCTCACCTCTGATCCAGATAAATTGATATAGATTTCTTTTATGTCTCATACCTTTAAGTTGCTGCATATTATTCTGTAATGTGGCTGTGCTATAACGTATTTAATGATTTCTCTATGGAATGACATTTACATTTTTATGAATTTTTTTTGCTCCTACAAGCAATGGTGCAATAAATATCATTGTGCATATATACTTATACTATGGTGATTATATTTCTATAAAATAGAGCATGGAAACTGGGACTGTTGCATTAAACGGTATGCATGTTTTTTATTTTAATAGATATTGCCAAATTACTTTTGAAATGACTGTAGTTAATAATTCTGCTAGGAAATTCATGAAGGGATTGTTTCTCAGCATCTTTTCCAGCACTAGACTTCTCATAGATTGGAAAACTTAATATTGTTAAGATACCAATACCACTCAAAGCAATCTACATATTAAGTACAATCCCTATCAAAATCCCAATGATTTTTTTGAAGAAGTAGAAAAGTCCATCCCCAAAATTCATATGGAATCCTAAAGGACCCTAAATAGTCAAAATAATCTTGAAAAAGAACAAAGTTTGAGGACTCACTCTTCATAATTTCAAAGCTCACTACAAAGCTACGGTAATAAAAATGGTGTGGTTCTTGCATAAAGATAGACATATAGACCAAGTCAACAAAATACAGAACCCAGAAATGAACCCTCACATATATGGCCAATTGTTTTTTACAAGAATGCCAAGACCATTCAAAGGGAAAAGGACTGTTATTACAACATATAGTGCTGGGAAAACATATAGTACTGGATGCCCACATGCAAAAGAGTGAAACTAGATCCTTACCTTACACCATGTACAAAAATTAGCTCAAAAGAGATCAAAGACCTAAAGATAAGTGCTAAACTATAAAACTCAGAAGAAAACACAGGGGGAAAATTTTATGACATAGGATTTGGCAACGATTTCTTGGATTTGGCACCAAAGGCACAGTCAAACAAAGTGAAAATAGACAAATATTATCAAAATTTAAAATTTGTTCATCAAAGGACAATATTAATAAAATAAAAAGGCAGTCCCCAGAATAGGAGAAAATATTTGCAAAAAATATGCACACTGTACTGAAACTGTTATAGCTATATATTTATATATATAATTATATTCATTGAAAAGATATATATGTAATGTGAATGTAGTTAAATAGAAAAATTTATATTTATTATTACTTTTTTCCAAGTTTATTGACGAATAATTGTATATATAAATTTTACAACGTGAAGATTTGATATGCATATACATTGTGCAGGAATTACCAAGATCAAGATAATAAACACATCCAAGATTCCAGTTCAAGACGGCAACATAGGAAGATCCTGAACTCACCTCCTCCCATGGACACAATGAATCTACAGCTATATATGAAACAACTTCCTCTGAAACAAAACCCCGAAAACTAGTTGAGCAAATCCAACACATTGGGTGAAGGAGAAATAATTCACATCAAAATGGATAGACAGGCTGAGATACAACATTACCATAAACCACATGACTGGCACAGCAACTCACAATCGGGAGGGAATTCATAACCTCCAGCTTCTCCATGATGAGCAAAGGGTTTGAGCCCCATATCAGGCACCCCAACTTCCCAGACCTACATCTGAGAGGTGAGCCCCCAAAACATCTAGCTTGAAAGCCAATGAGCCTTGCATCCACAAGACCCACAGGGCTGTATAAACAGTTTTTAAAGGTCTGTCATGAGTGGATAAATTCTTAGAATCATGCAACCCTTATAAAATGGAATCAAGAAGAAATAGAGAATTTACATAGACCAATCACCAGGAAGGAGATCCAAACAGTAATCAAAAACCTCCCAAAAAATAAGAGTCCAGGATGAGGTGCCTTCCCTGGTGAATTCTACTAAACATTCCAACAAGACTTAATACCTATACTTCTCAAACTCTTCCAAAAAATTAAAGAGGAAGGGAAGCTTGCTAACTCATTCTACAAAGCCAACATTACCCTGATACCAAAACCAGACAAGGACAACACAACAAAAGAAAATTATAGGCCAATATCACTGATGAACATCAATTCAACAACCCTCAACAAAATACTAGCAAATTGCATGCAACAATACATTAAAAAGATCATCCACCATGATCAAGTGTCATTTATTCCCAGGATGCAGGGATGGTTCAACATGCTCAAATGAATCAACGTGATACACCACATTAACAAAATGAAGACTAAAAATCATATGATCATCACAATGGATGCAGAGAAAGGATCTGACAAGATACAGTATCCTTTTATGGTAGAAATTCTGAATAAAATGGGTATAGAAGGAAAGCCTCTCAACATAAGAAAGGCCATGTATGACAAACCCACAGCAAAGATCATTCTCAATGGAGAAAAACTGAAGGCTATCCCTCTAAGAACAGGAACCAGAAAAAGATGCACACTTTCACCTCTTTTATTTAACATGATATTGGAAGTCCTAGCCAGAGCAATCAGGCAGGAAAAAGAAATAAAAGGGACCCAAATTGGAAAGTAAGAAGTGAAACTGTCACTATTTGTAGATGACATGATGTTATATATAGAAAACCCTAAAGAATCCACTAAAAAACTTTTAGAAATAATAAATGAATATGGTCAAGTTGCAAGATACAAAATCAACATACAAAAATCAGTTGTGTTTCTATATACCTACAACAAAGTAGGAGAAAGAGAAATTACGAATACAATCCCATTTATAATTGCAACAAAAAGAATAAGATATCTAGGAATAAACTTAACTAAAGAGGTTAAAGATCTGTACACTGAAAACTATAAAATATTGTTGAAAGAAATTGAAGACAACACAAAGAAATGGAAAGATATTCCATGCTCTTGGATTGGAAGAATTAACATAGTTAAAACCTCCATACTCCCTAAAGCAATCTACGGATTCAATGGAATCCCTATCAAAATTCTGATGACATTTTTCACGGAAATAGAACAAAGAATCCTAAAATTTATATGGAACAATAAAAGACCCAAATAGCCAAAGGAATCCTGAGAAAAAAGAATAAAGCTGGAGATATCACACTCCTTGATGTCAAAATATAGTACAAAGCTTTAGTAATCAAAACAGCATGGTACTGGCACAAAACAGAGATGTAGATCAATAGAACAGAACTGAGAGACCAGAAATAAACCCACACATCTATGGACAGCTAATTTTTGACAAGGGAGCCAAGACTATACAATGGAGAAAAGAAAGTCTCTTCAATAAATGATGTTGGGAAAACTGGACAGCCATATGCAAAAGAATGAAACTAAACCACTGTCTTACACCATATACAAAACTTGACTCAAAATTGATTAAAGACTTGAATGTAAAACCTGAAACAATGAAACTTCTAGAAGAAAACATAGGCAGTATGCTCTTCAGTCTCAGCAGCATATTTTCAAGTACCAAGTCTGACTGGGCAAGGGAAACAATAGAAAAAATAAATAAATGGGACTACATCAAATGAAAAATCTTCTGTACAGCAAAGGAAACCATCAACAAAATGAAAAGACAACCCAACAACTGGGAGAAGATATTTGCAAACCATATATCTGATAAGGGGTTAATATCCAAAATATATAAAGAACTCATACATCTCAACAATGATAAAATGAATAACCCAATTAAAAAATGGGCAAAAGATCTGAACAGATATTTCTCCAAAGAAGATATACAGATGGTCAACACACACACACACACACACACACGACAGGATGTTTAACATCACTATCAAGGAAATGCAAATCAAAACTACAATGAGATATTACCTCACTCCCATCAGAATGGCTTTAATTAACATAACAAGTGTTGGAGAGGTTGTGGAAAGAAGGGGACCCTCATACACTGCTAGTGGGAGTGCAAACTGGTGCAGCCGCTATGGAAAACATTATGGAGATTCCCCAAAAAATTAAGAATGTAACTTCCATACGATCCAGCTATTCCACTGCTGGGTATTTATCCGAAGAACATGAAAACACAAATGCATAAAGATACATGCACTCCTGTGTTCATTGCAGCATTATTCACAATAGCCAAGACTTGGAAGCAACCTAGGTGCCCATCAAGGGACGAGTGGATAAAGAAGATGTGGTACTTATACACAATGGAATACTACTCAGCCATTAGAAATGATGAAATCTGGGCATTTGTGACAACATGGATGGACCTTGAGGGTATTATGCTAAGTGATAAGTCAGAGGGAGAAAGTCAAATACCGTGTGATCGCACTCAAAATTAGAAGATAAACACAACAACAAACCATCACATAGAGACAGACATTGGATTGGTTCTTACCGGAGGGGAAGGGGGAAGGGAGAAGGATGAAAGGGATGATTAGTCACATGTGTGTGATGATGGGTTGTAATTAGCCTTTGGGTGCTGAACATGTAATCTACACAGGAATCAAAATATAATGATGTACACCTGAAATGTATGTAATGTTATAAAAGGCTCTCATGAACAGACTTGCCCAGTGACTCTCAGAGCCCAGTGCAGAAGAGCTGAGTGAAAAGTACCCAGATTTTCTGTGAAGAGGCTTGTTTACTTATCTTAAAGCCTTGGCCTGAGGGGCAGGCATCTAATTTAACAGACATCTAGGAGCCTACCGAAATACTCTCTGGTGATAGAGCTAGTGGGGGCAATCTTTGTGCTCTTCCTCCACCTCACTCCAGCTCACCAGTATATCCCAGAGAGGAACTTGAAACCTTGTCTGGTGCCATGATTTTTGTGACCGCCACCGAGGGGACACCTGTAGATTGCCTGGCTTTAGTGGACA